TCTCTCTCTCTCTCTCCCCCCCACTTGCCCCGGCGAAGCATCCTGCATCGACACGTGACCGCAAAAGAGGGAAAAAAAGTGGTCTCTGCGGGAAGTGACACGAGGAGGACCAACGGGAGGTGAGGATAACAAGTGTGATGTCATTTTATTTATTCCTTGACTCACCAAGCGAAGCGGGTGTGATGCTTAGGGTGTAAGGCAGAGAGAAGGGGAGGGAGGGAGGAGGAAGGAAGGGGGGGAAGGAAGGATAGAGGGAGGGAGGGAGGGAGGAGGGATGGAGGGAGGGAGGGAGGAAGAGAGAAGGGAAGGAGGAAGGAGGGATAGAGGGAAGAGGAAGAGTGGAACAGAAGGAAGGAAGAGGAGGAGAAGGAGGAGATGAGGGAGGAGGGAAGGAGGGAAGGAAGGAGGAAGAGAGGAGGGAAGGGGAGGAGGAAGGGAGGGAAGGAGGAGAGAGGGATGGAGGGAGCGAGAGAAGAGTAATAGGAAAGGAGGAAGAAAGGGAAGGAGGGGAGTAGAGAGAGAAGGAAAGGAGGAAGAGGAAGAGAGGAAAGTAGAAAAGGAGAGAAAAAAAAGAAAAAAAAAAAAAAGAAGAAGAGAAACCTATAAAATAAGAAAAAAACAATAATAGCAGCAAAATTATAATGAAGATAATGAAAATAATGGCGACAAGCACACAGCCGGAACAAAGGGCCTTCCGCCGCCAAGTGGTCGCAGCAACTGTCACCCAACCGGAAGCCAGCAGGAGATGCCTCGCCTTCTTGGCTCGCTCAGTCCTCTGTGCTTGTGTTGTTGTATGTATGCTGGATGATATAATGTGTGTGTGGTGCCTTGTACACATACATAACACACACAACAATCATTCCACCCACACTTATCACACACATCCACGCTTCCTACATCCACACACCACACACTCTCTCATCGCACTCACATCCCACCTCATCTCTCATCTACCGTCATCTCTCCTCTCATCCACCACATCACCCTACAAGCTACCCACCACTTTTTTCCTTTTCCCTTTAGCCAGCCCATGTTTTGAAACACCACAACACACTCATGCACACAGGCACCACATTAAACTAGCATTCAGTTAACAATTGTTCGAAAATAAAGCAAAAAATATACGTATAGTTGGTGTGGTGTGTGGATACATAACCACAATATGTGGCTGTGGTGTGATGTGTGTGTGCGTATCGACTAGTCACATGCCACGCACGTGCCGATCTATCGTACATGTCATGCACACATCTACGTCGATTTGTGTTGTGGTGTTACCCATTTCTTTTCTAAGCACATATGACGCCTTGAGGATTACTATAAGGTCATTCCTATATTAGTGAGTGAGCCTGTCATGATAAAGTGAACGTAATTAAGATACAGACTCTCACTCTATTATCTATCTGTACTTCTAGTCTGTCTGCTATTCTCCACTTTATTCATTACTTACTTACTATGCTCACTTACCTCTATCTTCTCTCTGTATTGTCTATTAGTGTCTCTCACGCTTATTCCTTGCCTGCTCTACTACTCCCTACTGTTCACTCATCTCTCTAAACACTGCGTCTAATTATGTCTTTAACTGTCTGGCCATTCATCATGCTACTACTATGTTCACGAGTATCCCACTACATATCTATTATATATATATATATTATATACTATATATATATATATATCTTATATGCTTATACATATATATTTATACTATATCGTAGTATAATTATCTATATATTATATATATATATATCTTTATACATATATTAATATATATATATATATATAGTATATATATATATATATATATGCCTTATACATATACGATAATATATAATATATATATATAAGTACCATTATTATATTATATATAATATATATAATATAGTATATACTATATATAATTGTATCGTTATGAATATCAGTGTATGTATCGTATGTATGTATGTATCATATATATATATATACATTATGTATCCATATATATATATTATATATATACATATATATATATATATATATATATATATATAATATATATATATATATATGTATATAGTATATATATATATATATATATATATATATATATATATTATATGGTACATATATATGCATATATAATATATATATATACATAATATATATATATATATAAATATATATAGTTATACATATATATATACATATATATATATATATATATATATAGTATATATATATATATATACATACATAATATATATATACATAGATACACATTAAATGTATCCATAATCAGATGTACAATGTATGCATCATCGTAAAGCGTGTGTGTTTGGGCGCAAGCAAGTACTGCACTGATCCCAAGCCTTCCCTGCAAGCGAAACCACCACGCCATATCATAATAAAAAGCCTCCACCCCCCCCAACCACACCTCTAACCCCCCACCAACACACCCCACCCTAAAAAAAATAAAACAATCCCATATTCTCGCGCTCCTCGTTGGGCTCCCGCCGTCTACCCGCCTTCGCTAAATTACATCGGATCAAGATTCAAAATTTCTAGACGAAAAAAAAAGAAAAGGAAAAGAAAAAAAATTAAAATTGGAACCTCGCACTTGATGGTACAGGAATGCGGCCGATTTCGAGAGGCGCTGAGTGAAAGCCAGAAGCCCTTGCTCAATTACCAGCTGATTGGCCTGACATCTGTTCGGTCGGCCTTTGGGATTAGGATTAGGGGGGAGGGGGGGGGAAGAGGGAGGGAGGGAGGGAAGGGAGGAAGGGAGAAGGGAGGGGGGAAGTTTCAATTGCTGTTCTTCAAATATCCAAATCTTTCCATAAGGCCCTTGTTTACTGTCTCTGGTTTCTGATTCGTGACTCAAAAGATTTTTTTGGTTTTTTTGTTTGTTTGTTTGTTCATTTTTAATTATTGTGATCTTCTTTTATTTCTTATCACTTTCTATTGACATTTTTATTTTGGGGGGTGGGGTGGGGGGTATACTCGCGGTGTGATGAATCGAGTCAAAATCTGGTTATTTATTGTTTAATTCTCATTTCATTTATCTATTTATTATTTTTGAGGTATTCTCACGGTGATGATAAAGTGATTCAAAATCTGTTATTTATCTATTATTTTCAATTTATCTATTTATCTATTTAATTTTTGAGGTATTCTCACGGTGATGATAATATTTTTCGACAATTTCACAAAGTGGTTGACCTTATGAATACACTTCCACCATTCATCATAATTACTTTTCTCTTTGTGTTTTTATTCTGCGTTAGTTCCTTTACAGATCGAAAATTGCTTTACCTCTGTTGGTTTTATTAAAAGCGACAACCCAAGATAGCCTGGTTTCGGTGGCAGTAATAAAAGCAGGTTGGCTTTTTATGGCTCGGGTAATCAGTATGTTTAATTTTTCGCTTCGGCCTTAAATTTTCA